ATGTAAATTAGTACAGTCACTGTGGAAAACAGTATGGAGATTTCTCAGGAAAATGAAAATAGAACTACCATACATTCCAGCAATGTCACTACTGGGTGTTTATCCAAAGGAAAGAAAACTAGTATATCGAAGGGATACCTGTACTTCCATGTTTACCACAGCACTATTCACAATAGCAAAAATATAGAATCAACTTAACGTCCATCAACAGACCAATAAATGAAGAAAATGTGGGCTGGGTGTGGTGGCTTACCCCTGCAATCCCAGCACTTTGGGTACTCAGGAGGCTGAGGCAGAGAATTGCTTGAACCTGGGAGGCAGAGATCGCCGTGAGCCGAGATCGCACCACTGCACTCCAGCCTGGCCAACAGAGCGAGTGAGACTCTGTCTTTAAAAAAAAAAAAAAAAAAAAAAAGGAAAATAAAACAAAATGCAGTATGTACACACACACACACACACACACACACACACACAAAATCAAGTACTATTCAGCCATACATAAAAAAGAATGCAATCACGTCATTTGCAACAACGTGGATGGAACTGGAAGTCACTGTTACATGAAGTAAGCCTGGCACAGACAGACAAATATTGCATGTTATCACATATGTAGGAGCTAAAAAAGTTGATGATGGATACAGAGATACCAGAGGCTGGGAAGGGTGTGTGGGTTGGTATGGAAAAGTGGTTGGTTAATGTGGTTAGATAGAAAGAATAAGTTCTAATGTTCTATAGTAGACTAGGGTGCCTACAGTTAACAATGTATTGTGTATTTCAAAATGGCTATAAGACTTGAAATGTTCCCAACATACAGAAATGACAAACACTTAAAGTGACAGATACATTAAATACTTTGACTGATCCTTACACATTCTATGCATGTAATAATATATCATGTGTACCCCATAAATACGTACAAATATTTGTTGTGTACCAATTAAAAATAAACAAAATTTAAAAAATAAAAATATGGTATCTCTACACAATGGAATATTATTCAGCATTAATACACTGCAAGTTGGATGAATCTTGAAAACATGCTACATGAAAGAAACAGTGCATAAAAGATCACAAATCGGGCTGAGCATGGTGGCTCACGCCTGTAATCTCAGCACTTTGGGAGATCGAGGCAGGCACATTGCTTGAGCTCAGGAGTTCCAGACCAGCCTGGGCAACTTGATGAAACCTGTCTCTACAAAAAATAATTAGGCAGGCGTGGCAGTGCACGCCTGTGGTCCCAGCTACTGGCTACTTACGAAGCTGATATAGGAGGATCACTTGAGCCTCTCCTGCTTGCTTCACTGAAGGCATCAGGCAGTTTCATGTCTGGGAAAAACTTCTCGAAGCAGCTCCTAGTAGGACTGGGTGTCCACATCGAGGATATGGCTCCTGTAGAGAGTTTGGAATACTTACCCCTCAATCTTGGGGGAGGAGCAGGTGCTGGCGCCATGAGGACTTACTGTCCTTCTGACCAGTCCTGATGTTTCCAAGGTATTGGGGTTTTCAGGACAGGATAAGACTGTTCTAAGGCCACAGTGTGGCAACTGCAGCAAGTCACAGGCCAAATCCTCAACTCTGGCACTGTCTAAAGCACCT